TCGGTTTTACCCCATTTCCCTCGAAAAAAGAAAGGAAAGGAGAGAAAAAAGAGCAACGCGCGCCGGAAAAAAAGGTCCGACCCCGGCCTTCGCAACCGGGGAACCCCCAAACCACCCCTAACCATTTTTTCCCCGTTTTCAGAAACGGCTGGATTATGCCGCCCACTTTCGTCAGTCTCTCTTTCGCTCTCACGCCTTTTCCACACTTCTCTCTCTCCCTCTTCCCCCCCCCCCCCTCTCTCTCTCTTTCTCTCTCTGTTTGCAAGCGAACGTGAGCGGATATTCGATGATTTAATGCGCGCCTCTTGATGTCACTCTTGGACGATGCGAGATAATCGGGCTGCAAATTTTCAGATTAAGACGCACCTAACCAATCTAGAGATTATGGCTTCCTTGATAGCGGCTGTAACGCACGACTTGGATCATCCGGGTGTCAATCAACCGTTCCTGGTCGCGACGAGCAATCATCTGGCCGCGCTCTACCAGGTAGAGAACATTTCCGGTAGCGATAAAAATCATTGGTGAGGCCGATGATGACGGTGAAATCTAAACGAAAACTCGTCAATTTGCAGAACACATCTGTCCTCGAGAATCATCATTGGAGATCAGCCATAGGATGCCTTCTGGAGAGCGGCGTCTCGGCGCAACTGCCGACCGACGTGAGACCGGAACTTCAGCGGCATATCAGCTCATTGATCTTGGCGACGGACATTACGAGGCAGCAGGAATTCCTCACGCGTTTCAGGGTACGTCGTTAGAATGAGTTCCACCTTCCAAGACGCGCGCGGGCCTTGTCTGTTCGATCGATTAACCGTATGGTGTTTGCACGGATTGCCGCAGGATTACCTGAGCAACAATTCACTCGAGATGAGACGCGCGGAGGATCGCCACTTCATCCTGCAGATCGCCCTCAAGTGCGCCGACATCTCAAATCCATGCAGACCGTGGGATATATCTAGGAAATGGTCCTACAAGGTCTGCGAGGAGTTCTTCAGGCAGGGCGATTACGAGCGCCGTCTGAATCTCCCGGTGACGCCGTTGTGCGACCGACATACCACCAGCATCCCGAAGATCCAGGCCGGCTTTTTCAAGCACGTCGTCACGCCGCTCTACGTGGAGTGGCACCGTTTCCTCGGCGACGGGCTGAGCGTTTCGTTGATGGAGTACTTGAAGGCGAACCAAAAAAAGTGGGAAGCATTAATCACGCAAGAAGCGACCGAGGAGACGGAGACGGAGATCTCCGAGCTGGACGAGCCCGAGGGAGTCGTTAGTTCGGGCGAGGAGACCGTTGCCGATGAGGATTCGGGCAGCATCGACCTGCTAATACCAGCAGCGTATATGCAAGCGTCGCGAATGCCGACGTTACCGGGACGAGTCGGTCTCGATCGCGTCGGCAGGCGTCACTCCGTGCCGTTGAGTGTGTCCAAACCATTGAGCCTACCACCGCGTCAAACCTCCAGGAGAGAGAGTCTGCCGAGCGAGCATGTAAAATCGAAGAACACCCTGCTGAAGTTGGAAGACCAAGGTCTCTTAGGGCCAAGCTCGTTATCCCTGTTGTCTTCTAAGAGTAGCGTGGGTGGGTCGTCCAACGTCAGCGCTACCGAGAGACCGGTAAGCGCGGAAAATCTTTTACCGGAAACGAGTATAGCCAGTATTACCAGCAGTACCGAAGCCTCGAGACTGAGCACGGTTCTGCAGTCAGCGGACGGCCAGCCCAGCGTACAGACGAAGCATCTCATGCGACAGCAGACGTTCCCGCCGCTGCAGTCTTCGTACGCGAGAACGAGGTACATGTCCACCACCGCGGAGATGTCGCAATGTTATACTCAGGTCCTGATGGAGGCCGACAGTTCGTCCGGCTGCTCGACCCCGACCAAAGAGAAATCGTGCTCGAGCGGCCAGTGCTGCTCGCCATCGTTGCCGCATGACCGCGACACATGCCATCAAAAGCAATCCAATGTGCCGAGGCTCTCAAAGGAATTATTGGCGGTGGATATGCCCGCGAAGAGACGGGGCTCGACCTTGTCGGACACGATGAAGCAGAAGTACGATTTCGCGGCCAGCTCGGAGCAACGCCGCCATTCCATGCAAACCATTCGCCCGGACGACTCCTTCTCCAAGTATCGCCACCACAAAAGGCCTTCTTCTGCTCAAGACGCCGACTCCACGCGGATGTTCTACGCCACGTTAACGGGCGGCGGTGGCGGTTCCTCCCACAGCGACAAGGACAGCCACGTGTCCGACACGTCCGAATGTAAGACGGACTCGGGCTGCTGTAACGTCGAGCTCAAGTGTAGTCGCGGCGCGAAGTTGGTGGCGATGCACGAGCCGCGGACTACGCTGTCGTCCAAGAGGTCGGACCAGTGTGCCTCGTCGGCTAAGAGCGCGTGTGCCGAACAAGAGCCACGAAGGTACTCGACCCCGGTCACAGAGTGTAGAACGATCACGACTGACAGTGCAGGTAGACGATTCACCGCGATACCCGTGTCTTCTGAGCTTAGCACTCACAAAGTGTTCTTTATCGGTAGTCCTCCTGACTCGCCGCCCCGTAATCATAGTGTGTCCTCGTCGAGTGACAGTGGTAGTGAGCCGAGAAGAAGTATTGGCAGTGATTCGAACAACGAGGCTGTCGCGGTCGGCAGCAAGAGAGAATCGGATTGCACAAAGGAGAAGAACTCGAAGATAGCGAGGTTGAGCTCAGACGCGCAGATGAAAGAGAACGTTGATCCGCGTGCGTGTGACGACTCCACCAAAACGTTGTCCCGCAGAGGCAGTCAGGTAATTTAAGAAAAGAGCGAGCTTTCGTTTCAGTCAAACGCGTTGGAAATTTCACGAAAATTTCACGAAAATTTCTTACTTTAAAGATAAGACTATGCGTTTGGACACTGTAGAAGTTTGATAGTAGTTTTTACAGTTATATTTTATTAAAAAAACTGTAGAATTAAATTAACTACATATTATTTTCTACCATTCTTTTTAATGCTCGCTTTATTACCGGCACTTACCGTAATATCAAATCCAGGGATGGGCGAGAAGACGCGGATCAGCTCCGGTTGGCCTTCTATCGAGATTGGACGACTTTGCTCCAACTCCTGTTCCTGCCAAAGTCGATCATAGTTGTAGACGCGGATCTGTACCGACTGATATCACTAAACATCAAGGTACGCTTTCACTTTAATGTTTGTGACTTGATTTTTCTTCACTATCGTCTTCAATGTAAAAGCTGTTTCTGATATCAGATATTCTTTCCTTAAATCTGTACCAACAGATTCTTTTTTGCTGCCTGTTTGTCACATATTGCGAATACACTGTATTTTACACATTAGGTGGAGGTTCCAATCGGCTTGCTTTAGGACCTCGTGAAGATAATCTTTCGGCCCTAAGAAGAGCTAGTCTTCCGCAAGAGGCTGCGCTGGGAAATCTTGTGGAGAATGTTCTCGCTGTAGCTGGTAAGCACGGACTTTTGGTATTAGTAGGCACATTTCAACAATATCACGAAACGAACGTTAAACTAATTCCAGGCGAGCGCGAGAATTTTCCAATGAACAACAACAATAACAACAACACCACCGGTGGCAGCAACAACAACGGCATTAGCAGACTGTTCGACAGCACCGTTTCCGGGATGTTGTCTCCGAGACGGGGATCGGTGCCAGCAGACATATCCGAGTTACGCCGCGATCTTTTGTTCAGTAGAAATAGCGTAAATAACAAGCCGCGAAATCGCAAGAAAATCTTGAGGAGACGCAGCAGCGGGGGCCCGGAAATGTTCACCGGCGTGTCCACCGACGGGAACGACAACGGCACGTGGCTCAAGTGGAAGAGAGAAGTGGGAAAGCGTGAGCCTGTTCCACCTGAGCCGCTTGTCAAGCGAAGAGGATCCCTGCCCATAGAAATGGTGGCTGTTTCACATGCTGGTCGGTACAACCATAGGTAGAGGAGGATATCGTGACACGAGCGGGTATAAATACGTTTTCCAAAAAAGTACTTTTCTCTTATTGTCGCCCTCTCATTGTATCGTAAAGAATCGCTCGGAGAGCACAGCGATCGTGAAGACCGAGCAAAGTGTGATCAGCAAGCGCGATCTCCTGCACAACCTCCCTGTTCAGTTTTCGAAGATGTGAAAATAGTGATTGCTTATCCGTATAAACGTTCATTCAACTCTTCTGCAATCGCTGCATTTTCCGAACGTGTCCAATCGAACCGATCACTTCCTCGACCCTACACGCTCCTCGTCAGAATTGACTATAGAATCTGAAGAAATTCCCGACACCCATTCACGACATATCATGACAGCAACAATAGAAAATTGCTTCTGAATCGTATTCTAACGAAACTTTTCTTTGTCTACTGTAGGATCAACATCGGCACCACGTAGATCTAGCCTGTGGCGACTTTAACGTGCTCTAGAAATATGTGGACCGTCCATGCAGCGGTTAACGCCGAATTGAGCCGCTACCACACGACGACAGTCTTTCCTCAAATTGCCAGCAGTAACGTCAAAGTAGCAGCAGCAGCAGCGACGATTGATTACCGAATTTCAAGATTGCCAATGATGAAGACTTTCTCGTCGATTGTGAACGTGAGCGAGTGAATATTGTAATTACATTTTCGATAATTTTGAATGTTAGAAACGTTACGAAGAACGATAAACCAAATGTAGTGATTTGCACTTTGAACCGCAAAATCTTTTAACACAGTAATGTCGACACAATCGCGAATACCGTTATGTATTCTTGCCTGTGCTATAGACAAATCGGAATTAGTCGGCAGGTTTAGTTTTTTGGTTGTTTATATTATCGGGACAGCGTCGCGAATTTTACATTGCGTGTATCGGCATATTGTGCATCGAGATGTTATACATAGATCGTATAGTCAATATAAATCCGAGTAAAGGAATATATAAGCATCGTAATTCTAAAAAGTCTTCCTCGCGCAATTCACGCAACCGCGCGGAAGAAGGGAGCCTCGCCTAAGTGAGGCGTTACATCTAATTGTGCCATGTACACGAGCGTTGTTCGAAATGTGACACACCGATGGAACAAATCCTGGTATAGCAATGGCTCAAGATAAACTGGGTGACCGAGTTCACTGAGAAACAAAAAAAAAAAAACAAAGGAGGAAGAAAGAAAGAGGAGAGAGAAATACAGTCATACACAGGGTTCAATATGACGATTTTTTAAATAATTAAAATGCCTAGGAATGGAGAAGGAAAAAAAGACTGGTAGAGAGGACACTCGCCGTTATAGATCTAGACGTTTAAAAAAAAGAGAGAGAGAAAAAGAGAGCGAGAAACGTAGATCGAACAAAACGAAACGACATTTGCTCATAGATAGGGAAATTTCGATTTATCGAGAGACTCACATGGCAGGATAGCATTATTTGCAGGTCATTGATCAGCGAGAATCGCGGTACATGCCATTCGTGTTGAATAAGTTAGTCTTGGCATATGTTTCCCCCGTAATTTATATTCTTGAACGCGTTTTGCATTAAACGTGTATATAACGAGGGCCGAATCGGCGAGTATTGTTTGTATTTTTTAAATTTTATTTTGGAGTAATAATACGAGATAACAAAAGCTACCATATAGCTGGCTCTAGAATGGATATATACTCAATTTGGAAAGTGGTTCTCCCCCTCGATATCTCATCGGTTACGTTGAAACATTTAAGCATTCCATGCGAAAAAAAAAGATAGCATACAATGTGTAAGATACGGGAACGAGTTATAATAATAACAATAAAATAATAATAATAATAACATTAATAATAATAATAAAAGAGTATATGAAGTGAAATATCGACGAGTTGCGTCTACTCGACCGTGACACTCGCAAGATGATACAGCTATGCAAGTGCATTAAAGTGTTTGCGCCTCGTTTGTACCCCGTTTGTATCTCTCACGTCATCAAGGAGGGCGGGGTCTATTGAGGAGTCCGGAGTGTCCGCATAACAGGGTGGTTCCGCTGGCTGTAGCGTGTAATGTCATCAGGAGCCTTTCCTGCAGTCTGTGCGTGAACAGACGACGAGGCTGCAGGAAATGGAGCGTTTCTGTTCAGAGCAGCGAACAGAACCGCGGAGAGAGACTTTGTCTCACGGACGCAACAACGTTGATATCTGTTTCTCCTCTTCCTAAAGGAGGAGAAGAGACAAATCCAGCAAGGAGATGATATTTCTGCACGAACTCGGCGCGCTACAGTCGAGCCACTCTGTTAAGCTCGTGGTCATTATCATTGGCGCACTCGGCGATGTGCGATCGACGCTGCCTTCCGCGCTTAACACCTCCATCCACCGTTCGCGGATGAAGCGGAGCTCATTGATAGGTTTGCGGTTGATAAAGATTCGCGGTGTTAAGATGGAGTTCCGTCTTTGACAAGGCAGACGCGGAAGGCGACGTTTCTCGGATCCGTGCGTCTGCATACACATAACAATAATAAATATAATAGTAATAATATTAAAAATAATAACGATAATAGCAACAATAAAATTGTAATTATTACTTTTATCATATCACCGTTCACTGTCACGACGTCGTTCGACTCCAATAATTCATAACTGTCAGCATTGTCTCATCGTCATCGTTATCATCGATTGTCGTCAACGTCATCGTCATTATCATTGTCATTGTCGTTGCTGTTATAGCTATATAACGATGTTCAAGTAAATGGACGTTTTACGATTAGGCTATAGCGATATGTGCGGTTCGTCTTGGAGTTGATTAGTTAGCGAGGAAAAAAAAGCACGTTGTTTAATTAATAACAACTATTATTTATTATATACCCGACGGTTGCGACGTATAGGTTTATGGTACGTGAACTGAAAAATAAATCAAAAGGTACAAGGTGCCGTGACGTATAATCTTTAACAAAAAGAAAAAAAAAGAGGAAGATGAAGATGAAGAAGTTGCGTTATCGCGAACATATTTTCAATACAGATATTATTAAACTGCCCTTGCCGTACACATACGACAGCCAATGCGGATTCGCGAGATATACCATCCTTGTACGTTATTAAAACTATCGACCGAGGTAGAGGAAGTTTTGATAACACCGCTATTTTACATTCGAAAAAAAAAAAAACGAATCACGAGGAGCGGCGAACTCTGGACCTCAGTCGTTAAAGAACACAGTTGACGGTTTACTTCACGTACTGCTGTAAAACCTGTAGTCTCACAGACTGTCCGAAAGTAAAACAAATAATATTAACTAAGTCATAGAGAGAAACTCAAGATGAAAAGTATCGATTATAAGTTTTACGCTTAATCAAAAAAAATAATCATTGATATCTATGTCAACATTATAGGTAGATTGTCCATTTTTAAGAGAGAATATCTGCGAACACTAGTGATCTTCCTCTCACCGACTTTTCCAAACTCTTTCAATTCAGCAGCTGCTAGTGCTTTATATGTATTTCACCACTTTTCTGAAACTGAACTGACTTACTCGACGACGACCACGACCGCGACCACGACTACGACCACGACGACGATGTTACGTCGCGTCACTTTAAAGTAACATAAACGATATTTCCTACGGCTGCAACACACCCGAAACCAATAATTAACGTTTCTTAAAACGGTATCTGTACGACACACGCCGGCGCGACAATGAAACATTGTACAAGTACGTTAATATTTAGGTTAGCGTGAAATCTCCTAGTCTTTTTCGAGTCCATTAAGAGAATGCGTGTACATATATAACGCGCGCGACGCGACGCGATAAATCGCGATTAATAGCGAAAAAAGCGTCTTAATAGACGACATACCACGGAAACATTGGCGCGAAGAATGAGTCGAGGAAGAGTTTACATTGAGGACAAATTTATTTAAATAACGAGACTTCTCTTAAGAAACTCTTTACCCTTACCAAGACAGACCAATCAAATGGGACTAAACGAGAAACTCTTTGTGAAAGCCGTAATTGACTTAAGCTTGCCTGACGAAGTAAATATGAATTCTCGGTACTTCTATACACATGACCATACTGTCCAATCACTTTTTGAAGAATTTATTGCACTTATAGATATACATGTTCCCTCTCATCATGCGACTTCTCTGTCCCATCCACATCACCACCAACACGAACCCCTTGCTCCACTAAGGCTTAATCGATGTTCTTTAACGAAAAAGGAAAAAAAACATAAAATCCCTTCGAACTTCTCCTCTGCCGATCTCTAGATACCGTGTATTTGTATCGTGACATTTTCTATCGTCACATTCCCCGGTGGAATGTAAGAGGATTAATTAACGAAATGCAGTAAGATCCAGGGAATCGAGTTTGTCGTGAAACAGAGATTTCATTGTATTGTATCCGATCCGAGTCGGTCGATGGCGACCTCGGTGAGGCGCATTGAATTCGATGTGAGTCTCGTCGCGGTGAGAACAGCGTTCCATATCGGTGTACATGCGATCACGTTAGGGAATCTCGCTGTAATTCGTTAATGATTATCGTATTGTTAAGTATGCGTGACGAGTATGCGAGTGTGTAATAAGCGCGCGCGCGCGCGCGTGTGTGTGTGTGTGTGTATATGTGTGTGTGTGCACGTGTGGGCGGACAACGCCAGATGTGAGCGTGTATTTCTTCTTCGAGAACGAAATCGGTATATCTTCCGCTGTATAATATTTTTAGCGAGTGCAAGCACCGAGTATGAATTTTTCGCCTCTTGATCCTCGTGTAGTTAACGATCATCATTTGATTAACGTGAACTTCCCTGTTATCGTTTATACACTTGGAGATATATATATATATATATATATATATATATATATATACACATATATATATACACACATATATATGTGCGTGTTTTTCTGTCCGTGTAGGTGAGCTGTGGTGGAATTATCGCTAAGGTTTGCACTTTCGCGCGCGGCCAAGTTCCACGCGAGGCTGGGAACGTTGACTCTCTTTCGATTTGATTATGCGACGATTAATTACGGAAGACGCTGCCCGTCGGTATCTGCAAACTAGCGAGTGTAACGCGATTCTTTTCGTATCTTTATAGATATGTCCGTTTGATGGTGGCGTTTGTGCTAATAACGTATCGGTGATAGTTCAAGAGGGATAGTAAGACGATGAACGATACAATTCCGACTCTCACCATCGTCGTTCCGTACGATATCTCTCCGATATCTCGAGCAACCTCGTGTCACAGCGAGCACAGCTAAAAGATGCGAAGATACGACGCGTTACCGATACTCTCTTTCCAACACGTGGACGACGCCGACCTCTCGCGTGGTTCCCGGTTATATGCTATTACGTTCTCACGAGGGCCCACGAACGAGCACAAAATTTCTCAGCGCAAATCGCAGTATTGGATATGTCAATTAAACGAATTAGCGCGCAGAAGAGATATGGGTCTGTTCGACGACAAGAAAGTTATCGTGTATTTTCTATAACGTTGATGGTAGATAGCTCTAACTTTGCGCTAGATGCGATTAAACGATGTGTTCTTATCATTATTCGTAATTCAACTGTAATGTCGTTAACGATATAATGACACGACGGAGATGCGACGAAGAGGCTCGAGATAATACAAGTTACGACGGCATGTGCGTGCGTGAAATACGAGAGCGCGATAGAAAGGTACGAGCGTGTCCTTCAGATAGTTCGACCCGATGTTCACGATTGGCTGTATGACAAAAGCTATCGGCATATGTGTGTGGTGGCTCTAAATGGCCTATTATATTTATTAGAGAAACGATTACTACCGGTAGTACGTACGTTAATATCCGAATTTTTCCATAGTCCATACACTTGATTGTGCCGACTATTTATTTTGTGTGAGTATACATGTGATTTTATTAATATTATACGAGAGAGAGAGAGAATGTGAAAGAGAGAACAGGAGAATATATCTGAGTATGTGTGTGTGTATGCATGTGTGAGAGAGAAACTCACCTCCTGCCCCGCCCTCGTTATATTATCAAGTTAGAGTCGAATAAAAGCGAGACACGACGTGTAACGACTCGTTTTCTTTATTAAAAAGATCTATAAAAGTCACACACGGTGTTTTATTGTCGATACACTTCGCATTCATAATTACATGACTCGCGAGAGCTTCCCCAACAGAAAGATATGCCGAATACCTTACTCTCCTTCCCTCCCCAAGAATTGCACATAAGAACATTTAAAATGCGAAATACGAGTTTATTGAGCATCCTCGTCACCGTATAAAGTCCACGACGCATTTGAAATCAATTCTTGCCGCCGCGAAGGGAAATGCTACATTGATTTTGTAATTAGCGACCGAGAGTATAAAGAGCGTTTCTAATCATCTTTGGACGCAAAAATGCATCATCCGTCTTTCACTCGATTTCGCGAGGATTTAATTTGAAAATTATCTTACCGCGCGCTCTCTCTCTCTTTCTCTCTCTTTTCCAACTTGGCCGCAGGACCCGCAGGGACCGCGAGAATGATTTTTCGACTCCGAAGCGCGAATTTTCGAACAGCACTTTCCCGTTATTCCGCGCCGGTAACCTTGCACGCGCGTATTCAAATCAGGTAGTTCCATTTCGAGACGCAATTTAACGCAACTACCGGCACGGCGGAACAGCACGAGCTGCGGCGACTCGGATCAACGTCGGAAACTCGGCGCGAACGCGACTGCCGCGCGCGCGGCCAAATTTAAACGTTCCCGCGGCGCGCGCGCGCGCGCGCCACGCAGGCGTGCCAACGCACGCTGGCCTCGCGCTCGCGGCGTATACCGCGCGTTCGTACGTTACGTTGCGTCATATTGCGCACCGTGTCCCCTCTCCTCCCGCCAGAATCAGTGTCGCGAATCTCGTTTTCGAAGCGAGCGGTCCGCACGCACACACATGTCGCGTCGCGAAATCAAATCATCGGCCCGGGAAGCGACAGTCCGTGTAACAACGCGCGCCGCGCGAGTACCGTCGTGCGTACATCGTGCGCGATCATCGGCCGCCGCCGTCGCGGCGTGCGTGCTCGCGTCGTCGTCGTCACCACCGCCGTTGTGCCCGCCGTCGTCGTCGTCGTCATTGTTGTTGTTGTCGCCGCCGTCGTCGTCGTCGTCGTCGTCATCGTCGTCGTCGTCATTGTCGTCGTCGTTATTGCCGTTGTTGCCGCCACCGATGTCTGTTCTGTGCATGTTCGTGCGAGCTCGGTAGGTCAAAATGGCGTGAACCGAGCGCGCGATTTTAAGGTTATCTTCGTGGCGGGTTCCACCGCGCGGCGGGACCGCGTACGCCCGGAACGTTAATTGTGACCGGGTGTTTCGGAGCGTGAGTGCAAGTCCCGCGCTTATCGTCGTCATCATCCACCTCCGTCGTTGTCGTCGTCATCGTCGTCATCGTCGCTGTAGCAGCCGTAACCTTCGTCGTCGACGTCCACGTTCCACCACGAACACGTCCGCGTTTTCCGTGCCGTGAGTTACATGAGTTATGAGGACGGAATGCCCGCAGGCAGTAACGGTCGTATCCGCGGTTACCCAGCGCGGATGTCCGAGCGGCAACAGCTCGCGCTAATCTTGCAAATGACTTCTCAGGAAATACTGTCAGGTAAGAAAGGAAGAGAGAGAGAGAGAGAGAAAGGGAGAATAAGTAAACAGTCGGGCGAAGTGTGCGCGAGAGAGATCTCGGGGAGTCTCGAGTAGACAAGCGCGCAGCGAGCCACACACGGTGGTCGCGGCGCAACCGCCGTGAAGTCGCGCGCGCTTTCTTCGCGCGTGGGTCGTGTTGTATCGCATCGACGCCGCCGCCACCGCCGCCTTTGCCGCGCGCGCGATCCTACGATCAATTGATTGATCTCGGTTGCGCGCGCGGGCTAGTGTCGGAGCGATCGAGGAGCCATCCTTACCGAGTCGACGGCGACGGTAACGTGCCGTCCAATTCCAGTTGGATCGCGCGTGTTTGGTCGCTCTCACGTGCGATCAAACGACGTTCGTTGCGCACGAGTGCGCGCTCTGTATCGCTGCGAATTACGCGTGACGTCGCGTTTGTGTTGGGGAAAAAGTGGCGGAATGCGGAATCGCGCGGAGGGCCCCCTAGGTGCTTCGTTCGAACGAGCTTCGCCCGCATGTTCAGTCCGGCCAATCACGCGGCGCGCTGACAGTCGACGATCGGAATGGCGGAGCGCGCGCGGAGGGAAACTCGTCGTGTAATTGACACATCCAAGTTCCCGCTCCTCGTGGGCCGAGATGTCGCGCCGCGGGGACCGATCGCCGGTAAACTCGTGATTGCGCTGAGGACTCGCGATATAACACCGACGTCGCATCCGGAAATGGAATTCCGCGGTCACTTGAGTAGTTTCCTTCCGGTCTGCACTTTTAAGCCTAATCTACAATGCGCTCTTCCTTTTTCTTGTTCTTTCTTTTCTAGCTTGAATTTGATCTACAATGTGTTCTTTGCTTCCTGTTTCTTTTTATTTATCTCGTTCGAGTTCTCTTTTCGCGCTTCCTGTTTCTTATTCTTTATCTTTTTCTAACTAAAAGCTCAAGATTTAAATCAGAAGCATATTGTAGATCAAGTTTAAAATCAGGAAGAAAACAAGAAACATTAAACTTAAGGTCTGAAGTTTGAGTCAGAAAGAAATAAAGAGAAAAAAAATAGGGAATATATACATTGTAGATAAAGCTTTAAGTGAGTTTTGAACCCTCGTAGGACGGGTGAAAATCGCCACACGCTTTCGCGACTTTCTTTGAATCTTTGCCCGCCGACACAAGTCGGCAATTTATAAGTTGCCTTTGTATGCAATGTTCAAAAGCCTCTTGAAGTTCGATGCAATATATAAGATTAATCTGTTTTCTTCTCAGTTTCTTTGTTACAATTTTGTGCGTTTTTATCAATTAAACCTCATCTTGAGTTAAAAGTCCTTGTCTGAATAGAGTAAATTAAGATTCAAATTTCGTCGGCGTTGGTAGAAACGCCGTTGACAGATTAGTCTGTTCTTTTTCTCTGCACTCGCTGCACCAACCTGCACGAGTTCTCTTCTTTTTCCCACCAAGTCTCGACTGCACACCTGTTCCTCCTCAAGTGTAGTTGAACGGAAAAAAACGGACCCGACAGATATAATCCATGATGTTTAAACGAAGGAGAAGTTGGACATGCAGGTATTTGCGACAATAACGAATCAGTTTATTCGTCAGACGCTGCGAAACCCACAATTTATGTACGCACATGAACTCATGTATATTAATACATACGTATGTACACGCGATTTAATAACACGATATTTACGCCGACAGGGGGAACTCGTTCGGAAAACACGACTACCACGAATACCAGCTCGTCGAGATCATCGTCGTCGTCGGCGTCATCGTCATCGTCGTCGTCGTTACAGCAGCAGCGCGGTGCGAAGGGTCGCTGGTCCAATAAAAATGGAGAGTCGCCCGTTCAGACGCCGATCAATCGCAAGGAGGACATTCGCGTACGGCAGATCCTCGTGAACGGCTACGACATCAACTCCTCCAGAGAAACAAATGGTGAGTCCAATCGCTCAAACGTGCGCCCGTACGGCGCTATTAGGAAATATATACGTGGCGCGTGCAATGAACCTCGCGAAACAAAGGAAAAACTCTTTTTTGTCCGCGAAGTCGCGGGTGGGCGAAAATACCGAGAGAGGGAACACGAAAATATATCGGGAACGAGAGAAGGAACACGAGTCGGTCTGGGATGATCGTTGTGGCGTTTCGAAGCGTTTCGTTGGTTCCTCGATAATTCACCACATTCCTCCGCTCTACTCGCTTTTGTGTGCATCATTCTGCTCGGCTAGGTGATTTCGTTTCACCCCAGAAAACAGCATTCCCAAGGGTCGGTCACCCCTCCTACGCACGTTACTTCGGTCGATAAGTGAAATCGACGGTGTGCGACCTTCCTAAACATTGGAACCCACCGGGCTTCGCGTTCATTCACATTATTCGTGGTTGTTAAGCGTGTTTAATTTACGCTGTGTCTCAGTAAAATTGAGAGCAGATCTCTCAGAGTTATTTTATTCTCAGAACAAATTGAGGAAACCTTTCTCTTTTCTTTCTCTCTCTCTCAATTTACGACGACATCCTTTTAAGCCTAATCTATAATATGTTCTTTGCTTCCTGTTCTCAGTCTTCTTTTGGCTTAAGCTTTATCTATAATGTGTTATTTGCTTTCTGTTACTTTTTCTTTATTTCTTTCTAACTCAAATCTTAAAACCTGATCTACAATATGCTCTTTGCATTCTGTTTCTTATTTTCTGCTTTTTTCTGGCTTAAAGCTTAAGGTTTGAGTCAGAAAGAGATAAAGAGAAAGAAGCAGGAAGCAAAGAGCATATTGTAGATCAGGCTTAAACCTTAAACTAAAAAAAGACAGAAAACAAGAAATAGGAAGCAAAGAACACATTGTAGATCAGGCTTTAAGGTTTTAGTCAAAAAGAGATAAAGAGAAAAAACCGGAGGCAAGGAACACATTGGCAGATTAAGCTTTAAACCTCACGCCAAAATAATTGTCAGCGCATTTAGGAAAATATTTGAAGAGACTCTCTTAGGAGCGAGTCCGTACAATAAATTCCGCGGAAAACAAGCCGGCGGACGTTGTCCCGTAGACGACGTATCAATTTGAGACACGTATAGTCCTTCAAGGCTATCTTTGAATACAAAGGAACCGGGCACAAAAAACGAAGGAATAAAATAAACCGGGATAAAAAGCTATTCAACGGCAGGTTTTCTATTAGTTTCGTCGTGATACGACCGAGGCCGGCATTCAAACACCGTGGGTGGGGAATAAAACTAGATAAAACACAAAGTCACGCATATGCGAGTAATCGAATTTCAAGGATGTTGCGATGGAACGGATCCGCGGAAGATGAACAATTTAAAAACAGACTTCGGTCGATAAGTAACGAGCGATCTTGAACTGCATGTTAAGGCCAATAATTCAGACCGACTATATAACCACTTTTTTCGCGTTTTTTCTGACGTCGAGATCGTTTATGTTTTTCAGTCGCGATCGTCTGGTACGTAACGCAATTATTCATAGTGATTTAGAGTAAAAACTAGCGTGTGCATTTTCCGCTCGACTTGCGTGTCGATTTTTGCTTTTATTTCTCTATGTTCGCTATCAGGCAACGTGGTGAAAAGTCGAACAGCAGCGAGATGATCGCACGCTCGGATTAATTGGTGCTTTCTATCGCAAATCATTCATTTACATTTCACTTTTCCTTATTAAAACTAAATCGAGCGCGCGCGCACATTTTGTTCGCAAAGTCGAGCGCGAATCGCGACGATCGCAGATCCTGATCCTCTTCCTGCGCTTATAATCTTCCCGTTGCAATTTCGACGAAGTTGAAATAGACGGGCTCATAATACTGGGTCATAGGGTCCGCTTTTAAACCTCCTCTCGCACGTTCGCGCCGTCGAATCGTGTAAGGATACACGTGGCGTGTGCACCGCGTACAAATTACAGTGCCTACACGACGAAAGTAAGGACGCAAGGAGGTAGAGAGGGAGGTAGAGAAAGAGAGAGAAGTACGAAGACAGTGGGAGGGAGAAGGAGCGGGAGGGAAAGAGGAATACACGTCAGTATGAAATGTCTAGCTAGTTTGTTCACTGACAACTCCAGTCTACAGGTGCACGACATCCTTGTTGTGGGATTATCGAGGTGGTACGAGAAGGAGAGACGAAACATCTACCATTGGGCACGGGAGGGGTGGCAGACAACTCTCGTACAGATCAATACTCGAGACAGGGCCGCAAGCGTGTGGAGTGCTTTTTGAGGCCAGCATAGAGTGTGTATGTGAGAGAGAGAGAAAGAGAGAGAGAGGGGGGGAGAGAGAGAGAGAGAAATGCTGATAGATAGATGGAGCAAAAGAGTACATTACACTCTGTATGTGTGCGTGCGTGCGTGTGCAAGTGTACGTAGGTGTGTGTGCGTTGCACAGTACGTTACCTTAGGAGGTATGACGTGACAACAGATGTAATGTTAGATCGACGCCGCAAGTTCGTCGTATCTTTATTATTTCTCAAGTTGAAATTAATAATTTCGGCCTGCGTTTTTTTTCCTTGTTTTCACGAGCTTCGAAATGTTTCTCTGTTCAGTAGAGGAGCCAGGAAATCGCGTCGGAGTCCGTCGCTATTATTTTGATCGTTGGGAGATTGAGACTGCTCTCCGCAAAAAATCACGAAAACCTTAGTACTCCGGGATGATATTAATTCCGAACTTTTATTATACCAACAAGTTTTCGAGCGTGCTGCGTCGTTACCTTAAACAAGGTATGTAAAATCATTTTTGACGATCGCGAGCAACTGTGACGTCTCAGGGACTTTGAGAATTTCACATCTCTCCTCGTTATTCGTACGACAGTCAAGGGCACAGAGCGTAAATAAACGGGTAGGATACGGTGTCGGTAAATATTTTTGCATTCTACTAAGAAACAAGACGATTAAAAGATACCTTATTATTCTCGCGAGAAAGCGAAACAAACTTTCTAATTCGTTGCACAAATTTGCGCGAACCGAGGAACATCGTCGCGGGAAGGACTGCTCGGATGAGCAAAAACTCGTCAATTAAAATTGAAGCACACCGCCGTGTCAATCAGAAATCACGCGACAATTGCGCCGTGACCGAGGAAATATTTATTACGCGATCGACACGTGACATATCGTGACTGACAATTGAAAAGAAGACAGACTCACGGGTGGTTTTGCGCGTACATACGTTTAGCTCGCGATGCGCATTCGTACAGAGAGAGAGCGACTGCTTTTGCCGTCTGATCGTTCGAGCGGTTCTTTCCTTGGCACAAGGACGTCGCCGAGAGGAAGTCGCCGTAAAAGCTCGGCCCTGCGTTACCGGAGAAGCAGCACCGACGACAAATCCGGTGTGTTTCCAGGGAGAATTTCGAATCCTGGCTTAAAGCTGAACATACGCGACGCTCTCTCTCTCTCTCTCTCTCTCTCTCTCTCTCTCTCTCTCTCTCTCTCTCTCTCTCTCTCTCTCTCTCCCTCTGTCTGTCGTCCGGCCACCACCGGACATTCCTGGGCAGCCTGCGGTCTTTTCCTAATCTCCACGCACTCATCCTCCTCGCCGTAATCGCCTAATCGAGACGATAAGTGACCCCAGAGTTAACGCGAGGTCTCGTCGGCCGCATCAAAATTTTTACAGCGTGCCCGATAATGCGTCCTAGATCTCACGTGAACCTAATTAAAGCGCGTGAACCTCTCGTCTCTGTGAGTAATCTTAATGACGCCTTGACGAGAATGTTTCTCGTCCTTTTCGCTTTGAAGCAGTGGAAACTATTTCCCACCGAGTCGGTTTCGATCGACACCTTCCTCCGCTCATTCCGCTCGCCATATCGTCGGTACGATATTTTAATCGAAAGGAAGAAACGCCTTTTTATTACTGCAAGAAAATGTTTGACATTAGTAACTACAATCACATAGAGAAATAATCACTATAAATTGTGACCAAGAAAAAATCTTTTTTTTTTTTTTATTAAATTCTACTAAAATGTGTGATAACCTTATATGCATGTCACTTCTGCCATTTTCATGTTAGAATAACGAAAAAGATAATTTAATTAATGGAAGGAAGCGCTTTTTCATCAGTGCATTTTTGTTTCCAAAATTTTCTCTGTATCAGATACTAATTTGTAAAACTACACATTACGAATATTACTCATCGTTCCGAGCCGATCCGGGGCAATCTCGATTATTGCTCGACTGTAATTTCACGGCGCAATATCATGTCGAATATTTTGCTGCGCTCGCAAAATTAATCCATTAATCGACAGGACGCGCGTGACGCTTTCCGGTCCTTCCGGAGGAAAATTACCGCCGTCGCCATATCGCGAGAAAGGATCGTTCGCGTGTCGATCCGATCGTATCTACGACTTCGCTGTTTAATGTTATTGAAATGAATGAAGTTTTGAAGGAACGGCCGCGCGAGGGGAAGAGGCGGTGTCGGGCGCCGCCCGTGTCGCTTAAAGGGGATAGACAGCTGCGTCGGCGGAGGTAAAAGCTGCCGTGCACGTACATCGCCGCCGTCGTGCAACGTGTCGTGTTGTGTCGCGGAGCTTTTGAGAAAAATGTTACACGTTAAAGCAGGGGCGACCCGCAACCCCTTCTTGACATGTATGCCGCACAAATAATTTCTGCGCTTGTTACAGTCTCTGTGTCTCTTTCGCACGCGAGATGCTACTTCTCCCGTGACTTTCCCGACACACCGTGAGAGTCGGAAAACCGATATCGATCGATATCGAGAAACTGTGGGCTCGCGTAGCTTCCTTTAATTAACCCGAAGGATGTGTAAACGAGTAACTCAATTGTATCTCGGGGCGAACGAGTGTGTCCCGTTGAATGAAATTTAGCAGTCACTTCGACATCGCTTAGGCCCTCATTCTGAAAATCCCCTTCTCTTTTATCGTTGAAAGTACAAAATATGAATCTTCTGAGGTTTTGAAGGTACCTTCATCTCTCGATAATGGAAAGTTCAGAAATAAGGGCTTTGGCAATTATTTGAGAAATCATCACATTATTACGTTGTAAAGTAGCGCATTTTTTCCTTTTATATTTTGCACATAAAAATACCCGACGCCGTTGAGTCGGATTTTGTTGCGCGTCAAGCGAAGGAGGATAAATAACTTCGATAAAAATCGATACCTCGGGCGCGTCCTTTCAGACACATGCGGCTTGATATTTAATATTCATATATTTCGTATATTCTCGTCGAGGCAGTCGCGAACAAAAGCTCCTCGTGGCCATCCTTCCACGGCAGGCGCGCTTTACTTTGGGGGCTTCCACTTTGTAACATTGACTTCACGGCTCTGAACGGAAGAGGCGTGAACAGCGTGACTTTCTTGCATAATCGGGATGCTTAGGTGACGCAGTTTTTTTTTTATTGTCCGTACGCGAGAGAATCTCGAAACGCTCGTCGATATCATCTTCGTGCTAGACATCCGAGGACCTCGTATCCTCCTGTTCGTTCATTGCCCATTATCGTCACCAGGAAGGTCGATCAGCCCACCGTCGGCTTTCAGGATAGTTTGCCGGATTAATTATTCGTTTACCCGGCTCTATCACGCCGCGATATAAAGTTACACGCAAGCGGGCCATTCCGCGTGGCGTGACTCTTATTGGCTCGCGAAGAATTGTAAATGCATAACGTCTAAGTGAAAAAACGATCGAAGGACGCTATAAAACGTTCCCGATATCCTCGCTGCTCATTCGTATTTACTACTGTCGGAATTATTAATAGAATTTCGCCGTGACGACGAAATTCTATCAACTTGCATTTGCATTCTTTTCTGCATAGTGAGCATTCAAAGGCCCTTACCATAAATTTTTATCGATAAAAATCTCTCTCTCTCTCTCTCTCTCTCTCTCTCTCTCTCTCTCTCTCTCTAATACCTATCTCCACCAATATCGTTTAAACCTTTCAACCCGGGTTTCTTCAAATAGAACTTAATCTTAGACTATCAACATCTTTTTCCAACACTGGTTATCAATATCTATCTTTTTGACGGACATTTCTCAACCATTTGTTCTCGGAACCTTTCTGTTGAGCAACAGAGAATTGATAACGAAAAAGAATAGTGAATAAAATTATATTTAATAAGAAAATATATAAAATGTATTATCAAAAATACGCATAAACTAATCAGAAGACACCTAGTCACATTTAGAGGCACTTCTATTCATAAAAGGGAGTTGAGAATAAAGTGTTGAGGATATCTTTGAATTGACTTTCACGTTTTTTTCGGTTCTTCCATATCGAGCGTATCAGACAGAAGTTCGATGTGATCGCGAACTCCCTGGAAATTGCAAGCTCACTCGCGTACTCGCTGAACTTTGGATTCCGCCAAGTCCAAGTTCGCAAATCGCAACTTCCCGGCGCTCGAGTCGAATGATACTTCCATTGCGCTCAAACGACAGCGCACGATATAACGGGAAAAACTCGAATCGATCGAGGGGAGAGTCGCGCGTCCCCGCCAAGTTCTTCCGGGCTCTCTCTCTCTTTCTCTCTCTCTCTCTCTCTCTCTCTCTCTCTCTCTCTCTCTCTCGCTGCTTCGGTTAAGCGGATTTATCTTCGTCGACGTGGACGACGTGGATGCGCCGTCGCACCGATGTAGCATCGCATTTTATATAAACGTTAACATCGTGTACGTGTCGAAGGCAGGGTGAAGGGAGGAGGGGGGGGGAGCACCCGTGCAGGGTAAAGACTAGCCACGGACGGTCCCTTCGTCGACGGTAGCGATCTGTATTTAAGGACTGGAAGGATGCACCGAGGAGAGGCGGGCGGGGCCGTGTGCGCGATCGATGGCACAAAGAGATATCGTCGTCCCGGCAAAAGGAAGCCGAGGAACGGCCTGATCGGCCCCGGCACTTCCGCAGCCGCCGCTATCCTCTTTAAGAAGAGGCCAGACACGTTGCTTTTCCCGTGTGTAAATATCCTGCGAGCGAGCGAATGTGGTGTGTCTCGTCTCTCCTTCGTCCAACGTCGTCGTCGGACACAAAAGAGGGAGACCGACCGACCGATCGTTCCCCTCTTGGCCACGCTTGCGGAATTTTCTTGCTTTTCCACGTGGCCAGGAAGTAAAGGGAGAAGAGAGAGAGAGAGAGAGAGAGAGAGAGAGAGAGAGAGAGAGAGAAAAGCAAGCGACGGGATGGTTCTCGTGGAAAACCCTTGCGACGAAAACTTTGTACTTTTTCCTGGCCACGCGGGAGATATCGCGACCCGGAGAATTCTCTTTCCTCTTCTTCCTGGTCGAGCGCGAGAGGGACAGCAGGACACTTCTCGTACCCTTCCTGCGGCTCTATTTGGCGCGATCGGAAAATAAGTAATAATGCGGCTACAGGAGCGGACATATGAGAGGTCTGCCCTTTTTTCAGCTGAACTATATTGCACTTTTTGGAGCGAAGCACGTATATAGTCGGCGTCGGAGGGAAAGGGAACAAAGTTTTCCGGTACAGCACTAGCTTAGCTAAACAGGACAGACTTGAGAAAAGAGCTAGACAGCCACTGATGTCGTTTCCAACGATCACGTGGTACAGCCGGTGTGCAAATGGACGTCGTGTTATTTTATTTGTACCCCTCAGCAGAATGCTGATTATCCGGACAACTCATCTCCCGATCGTGTCGCATATGAGGCATTCAGATAACATTCCTGAGATATAACCTATGTAGTGAAAGAGATCGTCTGATAGTCGGATATCGATAACGCTGATTAAAAGGACGCGAAAGGCAGCCCCGATAGTATCTTGCAGCCGGCAGAGCAGTACATAGGTAGCATAAATAAGATCGATTCGGAGAGGAGCGCATCTCCCTCTCGCCTACCCTACCCTAAAATTGTCTACGACCGCCGGCCCTGCAGGCTTCGGTGCGCGCGCGTGCTGCCGCCGCGTCGAGGTATGCGTAGTGTGCATCTCGTGGGTGTTGGAAACGTGGAGGGGCAAGGGGAGAAGTGGCAGCCGAGCGTAGCCGAGTGCGGCCGGACGTCGTCGTCGCGGTCGCGTCGCTCAACATGGCCACCAGTTGGCGAGAGACCGCGTTCGTGAGAGTGTCGGGCGCGTTCCGCGTACGGACTTTCTCAGGCGGACCGTCAGATGTCGCCGCGCGTGCTTTGAAAGCGAGTCGGCGTGACAATTCTCTGTCGCGCTACCACCAGTCCTCGCGACACTCACAGGGGAGGTTCGCTGTCCGTGTCGTCGACAGTGGCGAACGGCCACTGGCGGCGGGGGGTGGAGCAGTGATCGGGGTGAGCCGAGCTGAAACGCGAAAGGGGGTGGCGGGATCGGGAACGTCGTGACATTGGCGGAGATTTCGTCGTGTATCGGCCCGAGGCAGCGAACAGGCGCGACGACGACGACGACGGCGGCCCCGGGGAAACGATGACGACGATCTGTCCTCGTCGATCGTACGTCGAAGCGTCGCTGGAGCAATCGTCGGACGTCGCGGTACCGTCCTCACGCTCCTCGCGCGTGCAGCCCACTCATACCAATTAGATCGTCAATTGATTTGATCAAGTAGAGTCCCGCGAAGGGACGCGAAGAGATATCGTCGGAAGGGAAGGAGAAGAGTGAGGAGGAGGAGGAGGAGCAGGAGGAATCGAGGAACCGCGATTTCGTTGCTCGAGCACGAGGGAGCTCGTCGACACTCTCCCGAGCGCAGCATGCGTCGCTCCTAAGAGTGAGACCGACGGCCGAATCTCGCACTTGAGACCGCGACGATCGGCTGCGTAGCGAGGTAGTACCCGCCGCAACAACAATTAACCGTCGTCCTTAACCTTTCACCGCGACGCGCCGTCATATTCGCCTCGTGCGCCGAGAGAAAAAAGTGCCCCGAAGTTTCAGCGCGTCGTGCCCGCTCCGATTTCGCGGCGGCCGACGAGCGCAGGAAATCTCGGTGGACCTGCTCGCACGTCTCTCGCACTGTAAATTAACATTAGTCAGGAACAGACATTGCAGGCGCCACCGCCGCCACCGCCGGCTCACCACCTGACGAGAGTGCAACCGCCGCCGCCGCCGCTCCCGACAGCCCGTGCTCTCCTGCCGAGATCACCGTGCCACCGGCGTCGTCGGCTTCAGCAGCGCCGTCGAGCGAGCAGCAAGAGCAGCAACAGCCGCCGCAACAACAGCAGCAGCAGCCGCCGCTCTACCAACAACACAACACCCAGTACCAACAGCAGCAACGCGCAGCCGGGAGTGCCGCAGCCGCTGCACCGCACGTCGCCGAGGACAGTGGAGCCCCCTGTGAAATGCGGAGAACACCACCGCAAAATAAAGGTGAGTTCGAAACGACACGTATCTCTCGATAATTGTTGCGCACTTTTTCTCTCTCTCCCCCTTCCCCTCCTCCTCTCTCCCTCTTCATATCTCTATTTTTCTGTGTCTCTCTTCTGTTCTCGATTTCGCTCGCTCGCATGCTCGCCTTTTCGCGTTATCACTTTACGCTTATCTTCTCTTTATACTCGGGAACCTTGTATGCGTACATATCGCTTGTGTTATTTGTGTCACACTTTTCATGATATCTTTTTTAAACTAACAGTCGATCTCGTTCTTCTATGTAAAAGCTTCGATTTGAAATTATAATCGGGCCGAATTTGAGATAGTGATTCGGGCTCGTTTTAAACGGTTTTACGTGTAGGGGCTTAAATGACAAAATCGTTCGCTGACTCGTTAGTTGAGGATAAGCGAGGGAGCTTATTAAAAACGGAATCGCGATATCGACAATCCAGGTCAGTGTGCCGCGCTTAAATAATTACGAGACACGACAGATCCACGCCCGATCTCCGCCGTCACGTCCGCGGATTCTGCAGAGTGCGAATGTGGTCGTCGGTGCCAATCCGTCGCAGTACACCGAGCACCACCGATCCTCTGCCAAGATGCTGGTGCTGACATTTCATCGGCGGCGAGACGGCTGCTGTCTGTGAGAAAACCGTGACTTTCCTCGCCAATCGAATCAAGCGGCGTTCATCGGGGTGGACCGTCTCGATTTGAATTTGCAAGATATTCGCGCGTATATCTCGAAGTTCAATTACGGAATTCAAATGGCACGATCGTGCTCCATTTCCGCACGCATTATCCCGCGACCTGAGTCTTCCCTCTACTCGCACGACGAAGCCCGTGAAGATTAGAAGCGTCATTAAAGAGTCGTTAAAGCGCGCGTAGAGTATGCGAGGGACGACGACGAGAGGACTAAACTGGAAATAATGAGAGAGCGAGACTCCAAGACGAGGCTGGTTCCCCATATATGAGTCGATCTTGCGAAACGAGTCGTCGTCTGGGTGAACCTTGCAGCAAGAGCACGTCACAGTAACCTCCTCCTTCTACTCGTCTTCTTTTCTTCCTTTGTACATCCGATTCGCGTGCGTCGCGACTTCCAACGCGAACAACGCCGTTGCGATGTAACGAGCACGGAGTCTCGCAAGTCACCGAGCGTCGAGAGCGTGTCATCGGGATCCAGCGTGGCGATCTCGCGCTTCCGACTCACGTGCGCAATTTAATCCTAGCCGTAGAAAGCAGCTGTCGATCTTCAACGCGATCCGCTGACAAGCGCCTTCGAAACTGGTGCTTCCGCCGATCGGTGTAATCGACAGCGAGCGGACGCAGAAACGCTCAATTAAAGACGAGATTCTCAGGGTGTGACGCGACGCGCCGCGTTGCGTCTTCGTAGCAAGCATCGCACTGAAGGCGAAATAGAAAAATGTAAGCAGTGAGGCAAAAAGTATCTAGACACGCACTTAATTCCGAACGTTCTTAGTCTTTCTAAATGTGAATATTTAAACTTTCCACATGGAATGTATGCACATACATCGAATATATACATATATTCTGTGTCGGAAGTTAGACTAAAGTCTAACTTCCGACACTTTAGACTTTAGTTAAAACTAAACATTCATATTTAAAGACCAAAGCAATAAAAATGCCCAAGATTACATATGTGTTCTTCAGCTATTGGTGCTTTTTGCCTCAAGCAAATTTTGTGTCGTAACTAATCCCAACTAATTGTCCTCAGGCTGTAAGGAGAATAACTGTGATTGGTCAATGCGCCTCTTACTCAAGTTTTCCTTTTTCTATGGGTCACATTTCTAAAATACTTAAGCCTTTGTCCATAATCTTTAAGACGTAAGCCGTAAAAAAAGCCGTAAAAAATTGATTAACTATGGTCGATTTTTAACAGAATAATCGACTGTAGTTGGTTAATTTCTTAAGGCTTATGTCTTAAAGCAAAGTTGTGGACAAGGGCTAAGGTGCTATAAGAAGACGACACATGGCATGTGACGAACAGTCGTTGAGGTAGCTTCCTCTTATTGTGTGTCCTGCGATGCTGTAGCAACATAAATTAGTTGTTTGCGGTAAACGCATTCGTGTAACACGTCGAATCCTGTCGATTTGGAATCGTCAGTCTCTTCTTCCGTCCTCTGCTCTCTCCTCTCTCTCTCTCTCTCTCCTCTCATGTCAACCGACCACGTGGCTCGGCGCGTGTTCTAATTCTCTCACGGTCATCCGAGTGGACCATCGTCGTCGTTGCGTTGCGTTAGGCGTCGCGTCGGGGCTACTAAGGCGTCGAAGGTGAACCTCGAAGAGGAGCAACCTAACCCACCTTCTGGTCTCGTTGGCGTGGAGGACGTGAGCGAGCAAGATAATACAAAGGCGAACGACGAGGAGGAGGAGGTGGAGGAGGAAGAGCGCGCGGTATCGCGGGTAAGGAAGGAAGGTGGCAAGGAGGGAGGAGGACGAGTCGACGAAGGAAGAGGTGGAGGAGCAGCAGCAGCAGCACGAAGAGGAGGAGGGGGAGAAAGGAGGACCGGGAGAGGGAGAACGCTGACTGGCAAGTACGTGGGACACGTTTGCGCTCACTGGCTGCGTCCATCGACACCAGTAGGGTGATCGCACCTCCTGAAAGGGGTCTAAGCTCAGCTGCAGCGGAGCAACACACCATTTTGCGTGCCGCGGCGTGCGCGAGCGAGCGATAGATCGCCGATATCGCGCTCTCTCATAGTATCCCCGAGTAATAGGAGAGATCCTCCTCTCCTTCGTGGTGCCACGACGTTGGTGCGATATCAGATCGGCTGATATTACACCGGTAGACGGTGTATCTCGCGCGAGATACATTGATCAAATTCTCCTCTCGGACGCTTATTCTCGCGTGAGAGCAAGTGAGCGTTTTCGGCCGTCGAACGTGTTCTCAATCGGACGTACCTGTCGCGCGACTGCGATTGTCACTGCGATTGATACACGATTGAAGAGGTGTGGGCGAACGAGTGAGTGAGTGAGTGAGCAAGCGAGCGAGCGAGCGAGCAAACGGCTGCGAAAAGTGCATTTAACGTCGCCCACGAGAGATCGTCGGAGTTAATGGCATTAAACGGCCCAGACTGCGGATACGATTTACAACCTCCGCCAGCGATCTCGAGCGGCGCAATCTCGGTGAGTTTAATCGTGGATGCTCTCTCGTGCCACCGTCGCCGAGGAAAATAGAATTGTGTCACACGCTCACTCTCAGCCGTGCCCGATTGTTCGTCGAATTGCGCGTGCATCAGACGTCACTTCGTGCGCGTATTTGACGATTGGAATTCGTGTCGATCGTCGTACACGTGCGAGCCACTGCCGCATCACGAAAGATGCGTTCGTAGCATGCAACGCGATTAGATGCTTTCGTTACTCAAGACAGAGAAAGAAAGGGGGAGGGAAGCAAGAGACAGACACAGGTTCATCCGTGACGCGTATTTGCTCCGGACTGTGTCGGTGTCTCGGATAGCTCTCCAGCTCGAAAAACGATATGCTAATCTCTGGTGATACGAGCCGCGAGGACCGTAAGAGGAAACGACGTCTACGCTCCACGAAGAGGTATTTCGCGGCGACCTTGATTCTCGTTGTAGCGCGCGCGTGTTTCGTCATCTCGCTGATTGACGATGGCTTGTAATCGATGCCACCATCAGCGGCGACGGCGTCGTCGTCATTATAAATATGCAAGCGCTCCAAAGAGTGTGCAGTAGTAGTTTCTTTGTCGTCGCCTGTGTGTGAGAGAGAGAGAGAAAGAGAGTTTCCGCTTCGATAAAAGGTACTCGATCATCTTCGATCTCGCCGATGATGGCTCTTTAATCATCCCGCGATAACCGCGACTAATGCGCGCCCATATCATCGAAGGGGATTCTCCGGCTTATATTTAATAACAGTCGACGTCGCGCGACGCGCGCAATCTCCGCATAATTTTCGTGACGATTCTCAAACGTCTGCTTTCCCGGAGAATCCGGTTTTATCCTTTTACTTCATCCCGTGCACTGAAAAGATGTGCACGTAACTATAATCGCATAGAGAAATAATTATTATGAATTATAATCAAGGAAATGATTTTCTTATTAAATTCTACTATATAATGTTAGCGATAATAGCCTCACATACATATTATTATTACTACCATTTTCGTGTTAGTACAAAGAAAAAAATACGTTTGGAGCTAAAAGAGTAGCTATAATTTCAAGTAGGTTGGCCACCTTTTTCTCCCAGTATGTTATCTTGTTCCAGGTACGCTTCCGAGAAACTGGAACCTTAAAGTATGCGGAGAGAGAGAGAGAGAGAGAGAGTCAAGTTTCCGGGCGTTACAAAATTACTATCTCGCCTTTAATAGCGCACTCCGTCGAGTCGAAGGATCAGCGTTAACTTCGGCGAACGACATTTCGTAGGATTCAGCTTGACGTAATGCATCAAAGTGGCAGCGGCGGCGGCGACTATCTCGGCACGCTTCCCGTGTAAAACTCGATATGTACACGCGACACTCTTCACTGGCGTCGATTAACCGCGGTTATAATTTCGTAGCGATAACGCCGCGCGCTGGCGTCATCAGACATACACACCGATCGGCTCTGTTACCGTTCGTCTTCGTCGTCATCGTCATCATAGTCGCGCGAATTATCTCTATCGCGAGCCGGAATAAGTTAATGAACCTACGTCGCGCGAGCGCTGTTTCAACGAAATACTATGTCCCCGTTATCGCGCATGAAAAATTGCTCTCGAACCTGTCGAGGTCGTAACCTAAACGGATCGATTAAACGCTATTTGTAACGAGAGAGAGAAACAGACAGAGAGAGGAAGGGAGGGAGAGAGTGTCGCTACGATAAGTATATTTATTTCGCCGCATTCTCAGGCGATGATCACGAGAAAGACACGTTCACGCGGAACTTATCGCGAGTAATTTTTAGGCACGCTGCTTTGTATATTTGTATCTTGTTTAATCACGAGATCAGAAGGTTTTCAGATTTCAATTTGCTCGTCGCGGAAGACGAGAGTTTTCTGCTTAACTTCGAGCGTGCCTTCAAAAATTTTCACTTGGATTCGATTACATTAATTACATGAATTCGATTACATTTATTACATTAATTACGATAATTCAACGAATCCTAAACGTTGGGATATTTCGCGTGAAATTAACAAGGGGACTCTGTATCTGTTTATACCTGCGAAGCTCCGCTCGCGAGAACGAGTCTCTCCCCGTCGAGAGGGAGTCATAACGTGCGAGCACCATCGATGATTCACCGAACGAACGCGATGCAGCTCGAGAGACAGCTTTATTAAAGGGGGAAATCATCATCTCTCGAGTTTACTCGAGGCCGCGGAACGCGTCGAGCAGTACAATCGGGATATGCGCTCGACGAATGAATAAATCTCGAATGGGATGAAACAAGCGGCATACACATCCCGGCGTGGAATTGAAATTCCTTTCGCACCGGAAGACTCTCGGATCGCGCATGCCGTCGTCGTCGTCGTTCGATAAATCGTCCGGGAGATTCGCCCGTCTTCGTTGAATTGTGTAAAATACCGCTTTATCTGTGAACTGATTAGCGGGCGGGCTGATAAATGACCACGTTTGATAGTCGTTAACGCATCGGCGATCCATGCCCGCGGAACGAATTCCGTGCAGGAAATAGGAGGGCGGTATATAGTATATATACGGTGTCCGCGACAATCCGTTACGCGCTGCCGCGATGTACAGCCAGAACTCGTCAAACCGAACACAAAATATGTCTCTATCGCAAACAGCCACGCAAAATTTTGAGCAATCAATTAAAGAAGATTAGAAGTGAGATGATCACGCGTGACACGGTGGATGAGCTGTGTGATAGCTACGACGTCCGCCGTCATGTATTCGGGCATTAAATCAAACTGAACAAAAGTCCTCTACTATTATGCAAACGACCGCGTAGATATTTCATTATTAAAAGAGATTGGCGTATTATACCGCGCGTCATTATAGTCATGCACCGATCTTCTTTAATTAACTGGAAATCTGCGTGATCATTTGCAAAATGATAGAGGACTTTTTCGTTCAGTTTGACGAGTTCTATCTGTACGTCGCGGCTGTATAATGTATTGTCGGCCACCCTATATATGTATATGCTGTATTTCTCTTTCTCGCGCATATAATGTATTTCTGCAACTTGAACTCTGTCTTTCCCTCCCCTCCCCTTCTCTCTCTCTCTCTCTCTCTCTCTCTCTCTCTCTCTCTCTCTCT